TGTTCACTTTTGCTCATGCAGATTTCTTTTCTCAGACTCCTGCAATTATTCAGATCTCTCTTCCTAAAAGCATTTTAGGAAGAAACCAGTTAAGTGCTTTTTGCTACCTTCAGGCAGGCTCTTAAAGCCCCAAATTCAGGCTCAGTTATGACTGCACTGAAGAGCCAGTCATTTTAAGAAGTGCACAAAAATGTAGTCTTAACTGTGAAACTTGGCTATTTAATTAGCTAACAATTTAGAGAGCCATTTTTTTTGTTATTCTTAAATAAGAAAATCTCTAATCATATAATAATCTAATAATTTCAAAGCAAATAGCATGTGTATACTATTACATCTTCCAACATTGATCAGTAACGTAAGTTAACAGATTCTGGTGTGTGTGTATGTGTGTATGTGTGTGTAAGGCAGACTTGCGCACTAATCAATAAATTAGGATAAGTTCAACATGCTTAAAGAATACTGAAACTGAAATACTTCCATTAAATTACTGCAAGCTACCATGAGCGTTTACATAAACAAAATGTTAATAATAAAGAAATGCATCTGTTTTAGAACATTTAAGCGGAAATAAAAGCCAAGCTTCCAACAATTACATTTTTCCATGCATATACCACACATGGAACTTTTAAAACAAGATTTCACTTTAACATTTTTTCTGTTTTTCCCCACTAAGTGGTTCTCAGGTTGCAGGTAAAATAATTCTTTTCATCCTCAGGCACATGCTATCAAATATCCAGATGTCACCTTCTCAAGTTTAGAAGACTGGAAGTGAACAACGTGCATGCAAGTACTCTTATTTTTACACATTCAGTTTAACAAAGCATTTTCTAATTTGTCATTTGCTCACCATCTAAACTGACAAATTGTGATTTGAACAAAAAATCAGAACTGCAAACAAAATGAAATCATGATTTGCAATTCCGATGTGAAGAGACTTTTTAAAAACACTTTGGATTTTCATGACAAATTGGAATTGATGATGCAGAAAGCGTATTACTAAATTGAGCATGCAAGAGAAGGCTATATACACACATTTCACACCATATGAAACCATGATTTACTAAACAAGTCATGGTTTGAAAAACTGTGGATTAGTTCAGTAAGATATAATTGGCTGGGGAGGTCTACATGACACACAGCCTCAGGTAAGTGTCTGAACTTGGTTAAAGGGATTCATATAAAAGGGAGTAAGATGGCAGGTGTAACCAACTAGAGATTTAGCATGCTATGTGAGCACAGCCTGTGAAATACTATGCTAATATTTCTATTACAAAGGGTGCTTTGGAATAGAGTTTTCTCAGGTCAAGTAAACAGGACAATGTCAAGAGTGGAAGATAGTTCTCTTCATTATTACAATCTGTGTAATTTCTACAAGCAAGGGAATTAGTCAATTATACTTGTTTTGTCCACCTCCACCATTCTTACTACAATCTAAGTTGCCCTCCAATAGTGGTGTAGAAGTCAGCACACAACTTACCAAAAATCAGCTGCGTATCATATGCAAGCAATATCTCTGTATATGAACTATTAACCTCCATTTTTCTCCCAATAATTTTCAAACTTTTGGTATTTGTTTATGTTTAAACAAAAGTAACAAAATCAGTATTAAATTTCTCTTTTGTAAAAATTCCATTTTTAAGAGTCTTGATTAGATTATATATTTTTAAAGATGTATAAAGGGGGGGAGGTGTATACTGCTTTGCAAATATGTAAACCAAAATAATAAAATTGAGTTATTATTTTTTAAAATCTTACCCTATGTGAAAATAAAACCAAGTCTTTTTAGCTCTGACCTAAATTCATAAACTCCAGCAGCTGCTTGTATTAAAGCAAATCAGCTTTACAGAAAAAGCATTCTGGAAGGAGAAATAAAAGATCAAGGGAAAGTTTCTTAACTTTTTGTTTGCCTGACGCTGCTTCCCAAAACCACTTGCCCAAAGAAGCTTCAAATACAAGCTTAGGAGAATAAACAGTGGAGTTAAATTAGACACTCCTGTTTCTACTCCTTTGCTCCAAACTGCCCCTTCCTGAATTGACTCTTCTGTAAGAAGAAATGACTGGTGTTTTGTTACATTCACTTCAGTCTAATGTTTACTCCTGCTCACAAGATGTCACCTTCGATTTATCACAATATAGTGTTCTGGTTCCCTAGTTTCAGTTGTTTGGCAAGGGGAATCAACTCTTCCTATTCATAAAAATGATGGAGGAGGGGCATAGTAGTAGAACAACTGCTAGCAACATTTTGTTTGGATCACAAGAAAACTGGGAACTTCAGTACAGCACAATCACTTGTAGAGTCTTGCTTCTCACAATGAAACTCTGGGGAGTTCAGTAAGTTTTTGTGTTAATTAGTATATAATCCTGACGAACAAACACTTTCAAGTTCTATTTGCAGAAACTATATGGAATATTATTTTGTAAAAGTAATAATCTTTTTCAAGAAAAAGAGGTATACATTAAACAGGATATAAAACAGGCTGAGAAAAGTAGAGGTGTGTTCAACACCAATTACCTAAAACTCATGTTTTGTTTTATAATTTTAAGCAGAAATGTTTAGATTCGGGCTGCCCATCTTAGTAATAAAAATATGATGCCTTGGAATATAAAATCAGAATCCCTGCACCATAATCCATACTTCTGGGAAATTCATTGCATTTTATATGTAAATAAAGTTAGAAAATTTCAGTGGAGATACTTAAAGTAAATGAACAATTCAGCCTATATTAAAAACATAAGCTAATCACATGCCCCTTTTTATGGTTAGCTTTTAATCACAGAATACTGAATACCCTCTAATGTTAGATTGTTAGTAAAACTACACAATTTAGAGACAAAACATGTCCCAGACTCAGCCTTGAAGGGGCCTAAGCGAATCTGAATAGGTGTGCTACAGTGAGCTTTTCTTCTCACTGATGAAACGAGAAAGGCTGTATTCACAACATGTACTGAGCCATAGTTAACTTAGTCATTGTTTATTCAGTTCATCCTTATTTCAGGGTTCACACAACAAAATGAAGCACAAAGTAACTACAAAATTTGGGTTCCTACAGTATGCTAAAATGAAATGTTGTTGCATCTTTGTGGTTGTTCAAATAAAGCCAGAACATAGCAACAAGAACGACATGAGCCACCTACTCTGACATTATTACATTTCATTCTTTCACTCTGCCACCCCCTTTGTTGTTCAGCTTGGTACAATTACTAAGGAGAGACACTTGAAAACTCTACCTGTAGGACTTGAAAGGCTCCCAAATCCTTCCAAATAGCAAAGCACATTTTTACTGCTGGGAGTAGGTTTTATTTAAATATGGTGATTAACTATATAAGAGATGAAAATAAGGAGCACTAGGTCAATAAGTTTAAGCACTCATAATTCTGGGCTGGATTGTAGCAACTGCCTACAACACAATAACTCGCATACACATGAACTGCATATGCATAAATAGCTTTTGAATAAGGAAATAACAGTCAGAATCTTAAAATCTATCAGGCTCAGCACTGTTATCACTCCCAAACTGTTTGTCTCTTTCATATTTAGAAGTCCTCATGGTAAACCTCAGTACAGAGTAATATATAAATTAAGTCTAAACAAATGCAATCATTCTCTTCAGTTTTCAACTGAGGCCTCAATAGGCAAAAGACAGCAACATGTTGAAAATTTAATCTGTACAGTTTTAAATTGCTATGGTCAGATACAGAAAGCCAATTTCCCTCTTCATATCTGTGTATAGTAGTAAGTACAATTACGCTTTGCAAATACAAACTGGGTTTTTGCCAAAGAAGCCCAAAAGCAGCACAAGGTCTCACTAGTTTTGATTCTAATGAAACTGAATACACTTAATTTACAAAAAGATGACATTCCACGCATGACTGAAATTCAATAGCTGAGGAGGACAGTTAAACACTTTGGACCTAGCCAAAGTCAAAACAAGAGAAAGAACACCGAGGCAAGCTGCATATTTTTCTAAGCCCCACTGCCCTGCTTATGGATTGACTCATCTTTTATGTAATCTTTTCCACAGGCTGTAAAGGAGACTTTGCCAACCTGGTGACTTCAGGAAGCATTGGACTACAACCTCATCCTTTCCCCCAACCCTCAGCTCGTATAACCAGTAATGATGGATGATGGGAGCTGAAACCGGGGGCGCAATGTTGGAAAGTCTGCCCCAAAACATAAGAGGGACACGGGACACGTGGTTCAAAATTTCATGCAGCGTTTTTTGGAGTCTAGAACACGTTTATAATGTCTGTGCATGAAGGGATACACAAAGAGTTCTTGTTAAGAAACAAGAGTAGTAATCTATTACTCAGTTGTCATTCTGGTATTTTTAAATACTATGTACAGAAAATACATGCAAATAATAATTAGTTGCTAAGCGACCTTAATTTAAACAGTAATTAGAATCATATAATAGAACACACTGAGGTGTGTTCTATTTTTCTTCCTCTTCCAAAAACTACCATACCCAGAAATCTTTGGGGGAGAGAATACAACTTAATTCACTGTTATAGATTAAGCTCTAGCTGTTTTATAAAAGTAAAGTTAAAACAGTAATTTTACATTTTTAATTTACATGAATGCTATAGAATAAAGCATATCAAATAATCCTGCAAAACTCATTTTGGCCTACAGCCTGTTAAACATGACCTCCTACAGGAAAAAAAAAAGGGGGGGACTATATGGAAATTGAAGCATTTCTTCTCCAAGACCTGAGAAAATGAAATTGTCTTGCAATGGATCTCTAAAACTATGGATTTGGAAATAAATTTCAGGTATCTTGAAACATCAGGACTGAAAACAGATGGTTCAAGATTCTTTAGAGTGTGTGTAGCTATTACTTTTTATCATACTGGAAGATGTAAAACTTCTGACCCAAACTTGGGAATTAATTACAAGTGCAAACATGATTTATGACTACTCAAATACTTTATAATAATCTGACTACTGTATCACCAAGGGTAATAAGGATAATTTAACAAAAAGGCATACCATGTCAAAGAGTTAAATTTAGTGGTCACAATTTAACTCTTTGGTCTTGTGTTTTTGCTCAGAACTCTTTAGCTTTCTTCAACCTGTGCTTGACTACAACTGAACACCCACAACATTTGGTTGTGGGAGGTGGGTGTTATAGTTCAACAGAGCAGAAGGGCATCTGGTTAGGGAAAACTGCTTTATATAGTGATGCCACCCAAGGAAAATGTTTGGGAAATTAAAAGAGTTAGGGTTTTATATATAATAAAATACATATATAATTTTATAAAGCTGTAATTCAAAATTATACTGAAATTTTACATGCATTAAGTATTATAGCAGTTGTCTGCAAAAATTACAAACCTTTCCTTGCGGAGTTGCACTTCAAACTTTCTGATCTGCTGAAATCTATGCTTACATATACTCCACTTTCCAGATTTAGAGTACCATTCGGGAGGTGGCAAGTTGGTGTATTAGGGCTCTCCTCACAGTTTAGTGAATTCTCCCGTAAATTTAGAGCTATATAATTTAAGCCATTCTGAAATCCAGTTGAAGTATCTCTGGACATCTTGCCTTCATGGCCATCTGAAATATGTTCTTCAGGTTTCAACCACACATTGTCAAAAGAGGCAGAGCTGTGCCTTTTACTACTATCAGTAAAGAAAGAGGAGGAAGTGGTAACAGTGGTTGCAGAAGAAAAGGTTTCAGAGCTATGCCGCCTCCTTCCTTGTGGGTCAGCACGAATGACTTTAGGTACTACAGGAGGATCAGGACTAGAAACAGAGAAGTCACTGTTGCTAGCATATTGGTCAACAATGCACAGTCTGTTAACTATAGAAGGAGGACTATCAATCTTTAATCCATTTTTGCTTTCTGTGGCAAATGGTCCAGGTGGTGTGGCTGCCATGTTGAAGGTCATCTCGGTGTAGTCATCAATCCTACCACGTGCCGTGCTAACACAAGCAGTACCAAATGAGAGTCTAGCATAATCAGCATCAGGCAGGTTTCTAGGGATACTCGAACTTGCATAAATTGAAATATCTGTCAAAGAGTTAGATAGTTCTTTAGCAGCTTTGGGGGACTGAACATCAAGATCAACACTCATATAGTCAGAAAGCGGGGACTGCCTATGGTCACTACTGGAACCAAGAGATGATGGAGATCCTTCTGCAGATAAAGAATATGGTGTATTACTTGCTTTTTCACCAAAATCAATATTTATATATTCACCAGGGCTGGATGGCTCAAGTGGAATTGTGCGATCGTACATTCTTGGTATGGTGTTACTACCTCTAGTAGCTAGTGGAAGTCTCGTAGGCCTAGTAACCCTATTCTGTGCAAGGCCTTCTTCTGAACTTTTCTGAAGGGGTGATCTGGAAAGGCCATTAGCCAGAACTTCACTGCTGATATTTTTACCATTTTCAGATCCAACATACAATAATTTTCCAGGTGATGACATTGGAACATATTCATCATGTTCCCCAGTCAGAGTCTTAAAGCTTCGTGGGAGAGAGAAATATGAGCCAAGATTTTTGGAATCAATGTTGGCATGCATATAATCTGGATCACAGGGTTGCTTTGGAGCAGCAGAATTTCCAGGAGACATATCCATGTACTCATTATTTGTGGACTTTTCATGACCAGTTTTAGAATTAAATTCAGTTAAAGGATTACGTATAGGTGAAGAGATAGCTCGGGGAAACATCATCATATATCCTTTAGAATCAGCCTGAGATGACAACCAGGAACTGTTAATCTGTTTTGGAACAGACATACTTTTAGGAGTCATTGGCAAGTAGTCACTGTTGCTTGCAAGAGAAGATGCAACTCCTGGCATCATTGGCATGTACCCATCATCTCTGGCTTTATTCCTGCTTTGATTACATACAGAATCAAGAATTGATTCCTCGTACTCAGGTTCAGGGTTATTTTTGAATCTTGGTGATTCAGAACAAGACAGGCGTCCATGGCTTCCTGAGGAATCTTCATCTAAAGCAGTTTGGGTTGTTTTCTGTTGCCCTGGTACTGAAGCAGGCTTAGTTAAAGAGTATGTTCTTTTTCGAAAGCATTTATCAGCATCCCGGTAATCATCTCTTGAACTATTATCTGTTTGCTGTTTGTTCATAGACATGTATTCATTTAAACAATTTTCTTCTCTGATTGGTGGAGTATTGCCCAAGGAATCTGGTGTGTTACTTCTCACACGAAAGTACCTAAAGTCTCCAGGGCTAGAACCATATTCATCTGAAGAAATGAAACCTCCATCACTTGGGGATCCACAGACAGATGAACTGGAAGGCCTTACAAGGTTATCTGTAACTGATCCATGCCCACTACTTGAAGAAACACTGATGGGACTAGTAGTAGAAGGAAAATGAGAAACTGGTAGAGAGGCAGACCTAGTGTGATAAGAAGAGCTAAATGCTGCTCTAACGTATCGTCCGCTCCCTTCTTGGCGGCCCAAATTCATCCTTGCAGTATTCAAATGAATCAGACTTCCAGTAACTGATCTAAATGGTCTGGTCATTGTCCCCTCCCCTTCACTAGAAGTTCTGAAGCGATAAGCACTGCTACTTTTGGTAGTGGGAGGAGTCCCCCCAGTAACACTTTCAGTTCGGGACCTTCTTTGTAAGCCAGTCTGGCTAGGTGGTAGATTACCAAGATGCCTCCTGGTAGTTATGAAGGAAATAGGATTAGTACTGCTGCCACCACCAGAAGACTGGCTCTTGCTGCGAGGTCTGAACTCAGAGAAGGCTTTCAGAGCTTTCATGGTCTCTAGAAAAGTCTCATGCATGTTCTGGGCAACCACTGAATCATCTACTTGCATCCATAGCTCACCTGGTCCAATGGAGGCAGATCTGCCCACTTCAATGAAAAAAAAGTTTTCTGAGTGCCCACATCGCCGAATGTTCATTAGTTGTAGGTGGACAGAGGGTACTTCGGTATTCAGCTTGATCAGGTGAATGGCCTTGCTGGAGAGGCATAATCTGTACACCCCAGTCAAATTCTTTGTCTGCCCCAAGCCCTTAGGCTTCACGTTGACTTGCCAAACTTCTTTGAACACAGTTCCTGGGCGAAGAGCAGCTCCGTAATGCTCGTCATCATCGTCCAGCTGCTGATCAGCCTGGTCTTCCTGCTCCAAGAACCCTCTCTTGCTTTGGCTCATGAGCTCACTAATAGCCTGGTACCACCCTTCTTGCTCAGGTTCGTTCTCGGCAACCATCGCGAAATACTCATCCTTGGTATACAGGGCAATGATGTGTTTATGCTTGGCATCTGCCCTCCGGCTGACTGTGAAGCACTGGTATAGAGGAATCACCCTTTTCGGCGATGGGCAGCAAAGGGCCACGTTCCCTCCGGCTGCTGCCGCCGCCGCTCTCAAGCTGCTCTTGAACTTCTTCTCGCTGTCATAGTATTCCAGCCGGGCTGGGCCCAGGTGACTCTCCGCCCGCAGCACGAAGTACCGCTTGTGCCCATGCTTCTGCTTCCTCAAGGAGCCGCATTTCCTCACATCGTCCCCCCAGGCGATGCCCGCTGGGGGCGTGGGAGCGGACCCCCTGGCGCAGCTCACTGGAGGCCCACCCCGCCCCAGGGGGGTGGTGGGGGCTCCAGTTCGCCCCAGGGCTGCGGGGTCCCCGGGCAACAGGGCATCTTCTTCCTGCACGAGGCAGAGGGAGGTGCTGGGCGATTTCCTCAGCAGGAGCATGAGATGATGTGG